CCCCCCCCCCCCCCCCCACACACATACCCCAAAACAAACATCCAGAGGAACCTATCAGCTTTGGTAACTCTGCAGGACGATCAAGCCCTGCAAGCAGTACGGATTAGGGTACAATGGTTCACGCAGAGCTGGCTGCCTTTGGAACGGACCGACACACAGTAATCACACACACAAGTTAAACAGGATTCACTCAAAGGATGCCCCCTAATTTTCTTCACTCCAGTACTTTGAAGAAGACAGGAAAGAATGTGCCTCTGCTAAGGACTGCACAAAACCAGAGAATGGCCCTTAAGCATCAGAGGATTTAAATCCTGCTAGGGAGGCAATTACTCCCTAGGAAGACCCTTATTTGAAGCACAACAACAGTTGATCCTATCTCTCCCTGCACACAAGACATGTGCCTGCTCCTCCACCCAACGCATTCAAGGGTGTGGTGGAAAACCAGGGCAACACACCCCCACATCACAAAAACAAATCTCCATTCCTCCCTGATAAGAAGTTCCTATCTCAAACTAACTCTGGTTGGCATAATTTGTTGCCATAGTCCATAAAATAAGCCATCCCTATGCAGGCCAGAATGTGTCAGAGAATCTTTAAAAGCACATGGCAAGGTGGCAAAACAGTCTGACAGACCCCTACTGATGGAATCTGGCAGCACAGCTGGGTTTTCCTTCCTATCATTAGAATTCATTCTGACATGTGGCTTTAACTGTCCTGGATGTAAAGCCTGAGCTGTGCCTGCATTAGGGAGGGTACAATATGTTTGTCCCAAAGCAACCAGGACTCAGAGCTCCCTAAGGCTCTGGGCACATAACAAGATCTTTACATCATGGCAGTGAGGCCACTTGACTGATATGGCTGCAACATAGTAAAGATCAGTGGGAGGGAACGCCAGATTTCTGTCCCCTATAGAAAGGGCAAATTGCATCAGTGTTCTTCTTTCTTCCTCTCCCAAGGGTCATCAAGAGAAGACTCCTCTCATTTTAATGGGGTGAGATGAAAGATGAACCAAAAATTTTGTTGCCCCCATCCCCAGTCAAAGGGACTCTCACTCCCTGGCCAAAGCCACTTCAGCCCTGTCAGGCTCCTTTGTGGGAAACTGAGGAGTACAAAATCCTGCTATCAGCACATCTGCTCCAATGACCTGGTATTTTCCCATCAGTCTGTGCAGTTGGCAGGCTACCTCCCAGCAGAGCGGCCAAAGGGGAACATGTGTTCTAGCTGCAGACTAAAGTCCAATAGAGGGAGAAGTTGCAGAATTAACACTCCTTAGCAGAAATCAGTAAGAATGTTAACTCAGCGTAGACACCAAAGTCCATCCATGGTCCTCACTTATCTCCTTAAGGGCACCCTGCTCCTCCTCCTCACACCAGCTAACACCCTGGTATAGCCTGTAATTGGGACTGCTCTTTTACAGAGTCCAAGTCTAAAGTTCACAGCACCTCTCTAGATCCTACCCCCGCTACAGGTTGTTTTCTTGTATTAACACCCCCCCCCCCCAAAAAAAAAATAAACCAGGCTTTAGAGCATTAGAGGTTCAGAGCTGGAACTCAGAAAAATAGTGTTTGCACCTGAGACTTCAATTTACTGAAGTTGGGGAGTGGAGCTTCTTTGGGACATCGGACCAACGCCGTTCTAGTGAGAGTTCAAACTCTCACTTTGAGCCATTTTGGCCTATTTACATCTTTGTTTGATAATTAAGCCTTCAGTTCTCTTCTTCAGGCTCACCTCTCACCCTTAAGCTCTGATGAATAATGCACCCACTATGGCAGCTACAGAATTGTATACATGGAAAGTTTATGCTGATCATAAAGGAGGGACCCTGCTTCTTTCAAGAGTTCAGATTTTTCATCTCTCCCTTCCTAAGTAAGAGAACTCAGCTTTGAGGACCACCGATGGGTGAAAACATGAAGTCTTCACAACAAGGTACATATTTTTGATTATATAAATAAATATTCATTAGGTCATGAAGGCAGAGCCTCTATTAGTAACTACCCCAAGTAAGTAAAGGATGCTGAGTCTCAGCTCCAGAGTCCCTTCTCCCCCTCCACATTTACCCAAGACTTAAGTCAGCATGAATCAAAGTTCCCCATCCCTTTTATTTAGTTTTTAATCGTTTTCTGTCAGTAGCACCGAGAGGTCCAGCTCCCATTGTTCAGGACACTGCAGAATGACAGAATCCCTGCCCTGAAGAATTTACTACAATCTTTAATTGGATAGAGCAGCGAACAAAATAAGATACCGGTCAGTATGAAAAACTGGTCAGAGCACACCAGCAGCCTGACCACTGTCAAGGGTTTTTGGGAGGGGTTGCACCTTTTTTAAAAGGAAAAAAAAAAACCCCCACCATATCACAGCAAAAAAGAACGAGCGAGATTTAAAAGAGGATAATGCAGCTCTACTAGCTCCCCACCTCCTAATTAGCCACCAGCTACTGGTTCTTTCTGATCTATGACAACCTACGACATTCATTTAGTTGGGGTTGGACTAGATGATCTTCTATAGGTCTTTCAACCCTAATCTAGGACTCTAAGCCCACAGAAATTTGAATTAACTTTGGGATGCCTGAGGATCTAGTTAGAGGGCCCTGGACAAATACTCTGAGACCCATCTCATCATAACAGAGACCCTGATCTCTTTTGCCTCCCCACCAACTAAGAGCTACACAATTCTAACAAGCAGGAGAAGCATTCAGTTTCACATCCATACATGCACGCAAGGGTGGCATTAGTGTCCTATGAGCACCGAGAAGGCAATAGTCCTTGCGTTGTTCGACCATGACTCTCATCCATATCTGTAAGAGTAATTACACCACTTTCACTGCAATGCTTGAGAGGAAAGTGGATTCTGTTGAAAAGTAATCTTATTTCAAATATCCCAACTACAGCAACATGGCACCATGCAGCCCTAGTGGTTACTGGCAAGAGAAGATGCTTAAGAGGGGCAAACAAAAGCCTTACCCTTCTATGAAAAAAGTGAGCTAGGGAAAGTTTAACACCCCCCTTCCCGGCCCCCCACACACACTTGTTTACTTTGTGCAGCACCTCGCACAAGAGGGGACCCAGTCAAGGACCAGGACCCCTGAATACTCCCACGAACTTTGAATAGTGACTTTCAGTTTCCCGTTTGCCTCTATCATGTGGCAGCAGGAGAGAGACGTTTAAGCCTCGAGGATGGTATGTAGCCTGGATTCTTCTGCTTCCATTATTGTTTTTTCTCATTTGCCCTTCATTTTCATGTCTACCACTGCTTTCCCAAAACTTTTAAGAAAAGACTGGAAAGTGTGCTTGTAAAAAAGCAACAGGAAGAGTGCTTCATGGGCCAATGGAATGCTTGAGATTCTTATTACTTAACAGGCTAGATTTCAAAGTTGGCCTTTCTTTAAGAGGGGCACTTCAGTTAAAGTTCGAGCTACTTGAGAACCTGTCCCTCCTAGCCCCAACCTGCACGAACACTTCACCCTTCTGCCTAATTCACACACACACACACACACACACACAGCACCGTGGCGGTCTCCCGCCTCCTTTACTTCTCCCGCTCCAGTTCGCCCTTAGACCCCAAGGCTCGCCCTCCTCCCCAGAAAGAACCTACATTTACCCTCGCCGCAGGGTGGCTCGTCTCCTCCTCCTCCTCATCTGGCCGCTCCTCCTGCTCCTTCGGTGTCTCCAGCGGCTCCTCGTTACTTTTCTCCTCCGGCTTCTCCTGCCCCGCGGCGGGCAGCCCCCGGACCAGCTCCTCCCTGGTTCGCCCTTAGACCCCAAGGCTCGCCCTCCTCCCCAGAAAGAACCTACATTTACCCTCGCCGCAGGGTGGCTCGTCTCCTCCTCCTCCTCATCTGGCCGCTCCTCCTGCTCCTTCGGTGTCTCCAGCGGCTCCTCGTTACTTTTCTCCTCCGGCTTCTCCTGCCCCGCGGCGGGCAGCCCCCGGACCAGCTCCTCCCTGCACTGGATGCCCAGCTTCTGCAGCTGCTGGTCGGTCTCCGCGTCCACCACCAGCAGGCGCACGGCGCCCACGGCGGATCGGATGCGGTTCACTACCTGCTGGTGACTTTCCTTCTCCACGTTCTCGCCGTTCACCTCCACCCGGCGGTCCCCGGCCCGCCGC